AGTAATAGCAGAGGGAGTATTAAGATGTAATGAAAAATCAATAGCTGCGGAATTATTTGAAGATAATATGATGTTTTTTGAAAAATTAGAAACAATCCACATACAAGAAACCAAATAATCTCAAGAAGGATAAATTACGAATCTCCACTTGGACATATTTTATGAAATTAGAGAATTCTAAAGGGAGTATTACAGATTGAATTGTGTCCCCTAAACTATATGTCAACCTGGTGAGGCCATATTTTCACTATAATTATCATATGTGTTGATTACAGGCAGTTACGTGTTAATATAGTCTTTCCTCATGGTGTAATTAGAGACACGATCAAATAGTCATTGAAAGATTTGAGTAGACGCAGCACCCTCAATTAGGTCATAACTTCAAACTGATGAAAGGGGAGTTTACCTGGAGTGTGACCTGTAACACCATTTATCTCTTAAGAAATAGAGCAAACAGGCAGAGAAGGGGACCTTAGTTTGATCATGAAAGAATCTTCAGGAGTGGAGTGCATCCCTTGGACATAGGTCCCTGTTCTGTGAAGCTCCTTGACACAGGAAGACCTATGTCAAAAGGATGGAGATCTCCATGGAACTTTGGACCTAACGCTGCCAAAGAAGACAAAGGACTTCCTCTAGAAACAACACAGATCGCTTTCTCTAGAATTTGAACTTCTAGCCTTCCAAACTATGAGACAGGAAATACCTGTGTGAAAATTGCCAAGTCATGATGACAAATCTTCAAGTTATAAAAAAAGAATACTACTACATAGAAAGTCTGTTGCTTTGCCAAAAAAGGGGGGAGGGGAAAAAAGAGTTTTGAATACTGTGAACTTTTGTGAAGAGTTGAGACACAGTGATTAGATCAAACTTGATACAAATTTTTCTTTGTTTCCTTCTTAGATTACAGTATATCTGCAAACTCCAAACTAGTTATTGTCACAGCAGGTGCACGGCAGCAGGCGGGAGAAAGTCGCCTTTCCCTAGTCCAGCGTAATGTGAATATTATGAAAACAATCATTCCTGCTATAGTTCGTCATAGTCCTGACTGTAAAATACTTGTTGTTTCAAATCCAGGTGAGCTTACTCTTCTCCCTTTTACTGCATAAGGATGATCTTTCTGAACTACACTTAAAAAAAAAACCACCAAAACACACGACCAACTCTATTAAGATATCATTTGTGTACAGTCAATGACACTATTTCAAATATATAACCCAGTAAAATTTTAGAAATATAATTATCAAGTAAAAATACCATAATAATCAAGATATGGAACACAACTATTACCTTTGAAAGATTGCACAGGGCCAAGCAGTGTTTTCATTCTGATGTGCACAGATTGTTATGTGTTGTAAGTGACTCAATAACGGCACCTTGTAGTAACACATCTTTGGATAAAGAGAATGACTGGAACTCATCAACAGTGAGTACACAGAAAACATTTAAGTTTATTACATTATTGTAGGTAGGAGATGCTGATGGCTTAGAGGAGTGGTGAGGAGTAGTGATAAACTGTGTGGTGAGGAGAGGAGATAAACTTAGAAGATATTAAGGGGGTAGAATTGCCTGACACACACATGTACACACAGAGAGAGCATCTCAGAAGAGGATTATGCTTTCTTTTAAAAATTGTGATACTGCAAGCTCTGGTGGCCTAGTGGCAAGAGGCTGCACTGCAATCTCAGAGGTGCATGGTTCAAATCCACCAGATGCTCTGCTGGAAAAGGAGGAAAAATCTCCTCCTGTACCAGTCAGATCTGACTTGATGGTACACACAAAAAATAATGAAATAAAATTAGAAAATTTAAAAAATAGTACCTGAAACAGTAAAAATATCATTTATTTAAAAATTGTGATACTGAATGTTATTGTTAAATACTGTTGCGTTGAAACCAACTCATAACTAAACCTCCAGCAGGTTTTCAGGGGCTGTAAGTCACACACACAGTAGTTTCCTTATCTTTTTCACATGGAGTAGCTGGTAAATGTGAACTGTTTGCTTTTGGGTTGGCAGTTCAGCTTCTTATCACTAAACCACCAGAGTTTTCTGATAGTGAATAGCTTAACATTTTTAACAAACTGCAGAAGAGAGATTATCTATGTCTTTACTGATTTAATTATGAATTTATGTTTATATCTTAGGATTGAACTTTGGGTCCGGAGTTGCACTGCCAACCCATAGGCACACAGTTAGAATGTACCAGCTCCTCTACAGGAAAAAAGTTAAACAATCTCTTCAACAACAACAACAGTAAAGAAAATTGTTTAAGTTACTGCAAATTTTTCTAACTAGAATATTTTCTTCCAGTGGATATTTTGACATATGTGGTCTGGAAGATAAGTGGCTTGCCTGCCACTCGTGTAATTGGAAGTGGCTGTAATCTAGACTCTGCTCGTTTCCGTTATCTGGTTGGGGAGAAGTTAGGTGTTCATCCTACAAGCTGTCATGGCTGGGTTGTAGGAGAACATGGAGATTCTAGTGGTAAGTATAAGTTATGTAGTCATCTTTCATATCCCTAATAATGCTTATTTTCTGCAACAGCTTTCACGTTCTAGGTATTTCCCTAAAGTTTAGGTTTCTGTTGCATTACTTTCAGCCTTTTTTTTTTTATCATTGCTTAAGCTATCTTATAAAATACTACAGATGGAATAACTCTTTTAGAACTCAGTCTGAATATTTCTTTTCTAATCTGGAACACTTATAGTAGTTTTGATTATTTATGAAGTTTTTTTGATAAGTAGTTCACATACCATAAAGCTCACTCATTAAAAGTTATTTCATTCATTGATGTTTAGTATTTTCACAGAGCGTACAGTCATCACAGAAGTCTGATTGAATGGTGTGTACATCACCCATTGTTATCAGCAGTTGCCCATCCTTTCTGTTCAAACCTTGTTCGAACCCCAGGCAACTACTAGTCCACTTTTATGTTTCTACATGTTTGTCTGCTCTAGACTTTTGATATAAATGAAATCACAAACTATGTGTGAAGACCTACGCTTTTTCAACCTGTTCCATTTCTAAACTTTATGTTTTCTCTCTATGCCATGGTTAGGGCTTTATACCCATGTTGTTTTAGGTGCTGCTAAGTTGGCCCCCATGTACAACAGAATGGAACCCTCCTGTTCAATTCTGTGCCATCCTCATAATTTCTGCTGTGAAAGCCCCCTGGTGCAGTCACTGTGTCTATCCATCTCCTTTAAGGTTTTTCTTATAGTGTTAAGTTATGCATAGTGTCATATGCATAAATGTTATTTCCATAGTGCTAATAAACCAATTGAGAGTAGGACACTCTAGGAAGCTCTGGTAGCCTAGTGTCAAGAACCTGCACTGCCATCCCAGAGAGTAGGACACTTTGCTCATTTATTAAAGTATTAATTCACTTATTAAAAATGTTTATTGAGTGTGGAAGGTGGTATGGCGCTTTCTCAAAAAGTTGCAAATAGAGATACCATTTGACCCAGCAATTCCACTACTGGGAATATACCCCGAAGAGACCATAACTGACATCCAAGCAGATATATGCACACCCATATTTATCGCAGCTCTGTTCACAATAGCAAGGAGTTGGAAACAACCCAGGTGCCCATCAACAAACGAATGAATAGAGAAGCGGTGGTATAGTCACACAATGGAATACTACGCTGCATTGAAAAACAAGAAACTCATGCAATATTATTCAAAATGGGTGAGCCTGGAGGACATTATGCTGAGTGAAATATCTCAGTTGCAAAAGGACAAATATTGCATGGTGCCACTGTTGTAAAAAGGGATTGATATCAGGGTTGGGGTAAGACTGAGAAAAACTGGATAAATTATGTATACTGTACTGAAACATATGAGGGAGTGAATAATTTAAAAGCGATGTATGATAGGGTATTATGGTTATCACAAGAGTCCAAAATTAAGGTTGCATAGTGGAATGTACTTGGGGCGGTGGGAGGGGTGCGGGGGGGATTGTGTACCAAGGAAGGAGTGTTTCTTTTACTTTTGAAAGAGAGGAGCGAACTGGGCGGGGGTGGGGGTGTGTGTGAAGGCTGGTTGGAGAGAGAAGTGCAGTAATGATTGAATGGAAATCCAGAATCTCTGTAAATGCTAATCAAAATTATTTTTAAAAAAATAAAAAAAGAACGAACTTACAAAAAAAAGTTTATTGAGGGCTTCCCCTCTATATTTCTTCTCAAGTGGGGGAGGTCCATCTCTTTGGGGATGTAACTTTCTAATAAATCTATCATTACTCTTTGCCCTCAAAAAAGTGTTTCCTGAGCCCATCTCATTTCTAAACCCTTCAAGGGCCACAGTATCATTTTTATTTTAATTGGTCAATACAATATGGTCCAGTACCATCGTCATTATCATTGCTGTGTTCAAGGACAACATACTTGGAAGGGTGGAGGGACAGCACAAGAGAGAAAGATGAGATAGATTGACACAGTTATTGGGATAATGGGGGTATGCGTGTTGGAGTCAGTGAGACTGGCTCAGCATAGGGCAAACTTCAGAGTTATTGTACAGAGGGGTCACTGTGAGTTGCAGGTGACTTCATGGCATATAATAACATGTAAATCCTTCTCATTGAGGATCTTCTTTTACAATGACCTACTTTATCTTTTACTTTTCTTTTTTTCCCTATAATTATATTTTATTAATTTTCATAAACATTTACAGAGATTTTGGGTTTCCATTCATTCATTGTTGCACTATTCTCTCTACCCTCCTCCCAGTTT